AATGATAAAATATGTAAAGAAATAAAAAGGTGTAATTTAAAGGAAGAAAAGAAGAAAAGAAAAGAAAAGAAAAGAAAAAAAAAAAAAAGAGAGAAAAAAAAATATACAGTTAAAGATAAATAAATAAATGGAGAAATTATCATTCATTTACAATCATCTTAAAAAAGAAAAACTGTTCTAAAAGAAAAATTTCAAATTTTATACCATGTATAGCCTCATGTATTTCCGGCGATTTAATATTCAATTGTTGTTGTGCAATCATTGTGTGGTAATACTGTACTAAATTACTAAAAAAAAATGGAAAAACGCATAACTTTCGTTTGTTAGTACATGCTTGAAATCTCATAACATTGATAATATTAAATGCAATATTTCCATTTTATGGTATTTAAACAATCCCAGATGTATATACAACAAAGTAGTGCATGATTTATCCTTATCATACATTAAAACTTAGTGTAATTGCCTGGGATGACAAAAATTATTACTTCATTGTTCTAAAAGTTTCGTTTGCATGAAGAATAAAAATTTTGTACAGTGTTTCAGCATATACATAATTGCATTCATTGACTTATCTATCCAAACACAATAATAATACCTATTTTAATCTATAATCTGATGCTATTGTGGTTTTTATTAATTGAATTATTACCACATGTGCGTTTCACGAATTTCGCTGATAATATGACCCGCTTGAGTCAATGCCTATAAAGAAAATAGAAAAATGTAATATAATTAATTAAAATAAATTATCAAATCGAGATTGTCATTATAGTGATACAACATTAGTATTAGACATATGATTAATGAATATACCTTTAACATGTCACTTGCTTCTTTTCGTCTAATAGCAATATGTTCACTTTCATTCAACAAGGCTTCAGCCTGATCGGATTTATATAAATGAGTTACAAGTTCACTTTGTAAATTATCCTTTACATAGTTGACTAGGAAATGCATTACTGCTTTGGGTACGCTGTCTTGTATAGACTTACGTACAATATAAAAGTATGATTTGATAAGTCGCTCTAAAAAATATAAAAATACATTTTAAAATATCGAATTAAATAAATAAATATATATATATATATATCAAAAGACTTTTTATAATTACCGATAACATCACAGTCTCGTTGCTCCCGTTCACTTAATTTACGTTGAATTTGCATTGGCACTTCAGGAAGTAAATTAACCGGCTTTTGTTGTGGCGATGATCTTTGTATTTCGAGCATCACATTAGGCTGAGGAGAAATATTTCCTGAATTTCTACTCGGAGATCCTTCAGCAGAAGTAATAGATTCTGTTCTTTCTTGCGGTAATATATTACTCAGTAACCAATGATTTTGTTGCGCATGCATCTTTTTATTCTGCTCAGAAAAAGATGTCAACTCATCTTGACTGTTGGTCAATTTTGCATTCTGTTATAGACATGGTGGATGATTAGTACGGGGGTGGATTAAAACAAAAAAAAACAAAAAAAAAATGGAATGACAAAGAAAAAGATGCATAATTAAGTATATGTTTTGTTATTAAAATTTCATATTTCAAAATTAATTAATTAAACAATCAAACGTATGATTAGACATATTATTAGAACAATATAAAACTAGTTACATAAAATCATGATTTATTTAAATTTTACTTACAGTTTCTGTAGGTATCGCAACACCAGATGTAGAGTTGTTGCTAATAGAAGGTAATTTTCTATTATGTTTAATATTATCTATATCTGCATTTTTTAATAACGAAGACACAAATGCTGCATCCTTATGAAAATCTGGATGTTTAGTATTAATATATGCTAATTCTATAGCAACCAAATTTTCTACCTTTATAAAAATAAATTCAAAGAGAAATATATACAAATAATATTCTGGATAGAAGAAGAAGAAAAGAAAAAAAAAAGAAAAGAAAAGAAAAAATTAAAGAATGAAAATTATACCATCTGATTAGTAGTAGGGAGACGTCTTCGTAGTAAATGTGTAACAACGTCAACAATTCTTTCATGTAATTTAGGGAATCGTAACATTTCTTGTTGTACTTCGGTACCACAATGTTGTACAATGCTTTGCATTTCTTCATGTACAAGTTCTACACATCGTAAAGAGGGTTCTTCCAGCCTTCTTATTTGTCTTTTAACTAATAATTCAAAGGACACCTCGGGTACAAAAAGTGCTGGTCTTGGGCCGGTTGCATTTCGTATGGCAGTTAAAATATCGAACTTAGTTAGACCAGCAAGTGGATGGATAGAGTCAAGGGTTTTGCCAAATGTTTCATGAAATATATAACATATCCGTGCACCGCCACATAACTCGGTAGTTTCAATATTTCTAGCAGTTCCCTCGATGGTAGAACAATAACTGCTTGCAAATTTTGTAATAATTTGCAATAAAGTTTGACTTTTATCCCCGACATCTTCACCATAAGAAGAGAGTAATGTTTGAAATTGTGATACCATAACGTTAACTCTTGTCTAATTTAAAAGCAACAAATTAAATTAACAATTATTAGCAATTTTATATGAATAGCATTAATATATATAATTTAAATGACATTATTACCTTCAATTCTGGCAAACAATCACGTATATGATGCATTAATAATCGATTCAACATTTTAGCTAAATAAGGTGTACCATTTCTATTTGCTAATGTTGGATATTTGCGTTGTAAAAATATAGCTTCGTCCTTCAATGCATCTTGAATACTTTTATTACTTATTATGTCCTGTTGCGAACGATTAACTACACCAATGATTCCTAATTTAACAGGAATTACTCTACCGCACAATATATCTATCGCGTCTGTTCCTATTATTATAGAAATTAAAGAAATGAAATAAAAGTTTGAATGATCCTTTAATATATAGAATAACATTTTATTAAAATAAATATACCTGCATCCATAAGATCTAATTTTGTAACAACAGCAAGAGTACGCCTGCCATCCGGATCTACATCTTTACTAAGTTTCAAACTTTCACTTGTGGCCATATCTGTATTAGCAGTGACAACTGCTAAAATGATGGAATTAGGATTACATATGTATTCCAATACAAGTTGACGAATTTGATTTTCAATATCTTCAGGTTGATCTCCTACTGGCACTTTTGTAATACCAGGCAAATCTATAAGCGTCAAATTAACGACTGAAGTTGAAAAGATTTTAAGATTAATTGGTTCAGGACAAATTCCTTTATTAGATCCAGCTGTACGATCTGTCTCTGCTTCAATTTCACTACGTATATCATCAAAATTTCTAAAGATCTTATTTTTTTTATGTAGGAATGTACCCCACTCTTCCAAATCCATTGTTCCATTTTCTGCACTACGATGTTCTTTATCTTCCTTTGGTGTATATATAAGTTGAAGTATCAATGGTCGACGAGTTACTATACCTGTTCCTCTAGGAAGGAACGAACGGCCTACTATATTTTCTATTACAGATGACTTGCCAGAACTCTAAAAACAAATTGGAAATAATACATTTGTATTGAATTAATTCAATACAATCGACAAAGAGAAATTCTATGCTACGAATATTTTGATTAAAAGAAGAAGAAGGCAAAAAAAAAAAGAAAAAAAAAAGAAAAAAAAAGAATAAAAAATTGAATAAAAAAATTCTCCGACATTTTTAACATTAAAACTTTTAACATTTTAACAATTTGTTAACAACAATTTTTACAATTCTTTTTCTTATTATTTAATCATTGTAAATAATAATTTTGCATTACAATGATATCATCGTATCATCGTATATATAAATATTCGAATTTTTTCTCATGACAATGAGAACAAAGGAAGAAAGAATGAAAAGTAAATAAATGTTACAATTTGAAGCAATTATCATGTGTTACATGCTTATATTTAAAATATTGACTAACCTGAGTTCCCAAGACAACTATTTGTGGAAGCTGAATAGCATCTGCACCAACAGTATTAAATACATCTTGTAATTTATTTATTACTGGTATTAAAGCTTCCATTGTGTTCAGCTATATAAACGTATATATCAAATCGATCGAATCAAACAAATATTCTCACTCAACCGGTTAAGGATTTAACGAACAGACTTTGACCATTAATATGTATTTTATCATTCGTTTAATAATTCGAATACTTTTAGATTTTTTTTATCGAGATGTCAATTTGACAATTAATTAATTAGTTAAAAATATTTCTTACTAAATTAATTCATATATAATTGAAGTGATATCACATTCCTTAATAAATCTCGTTAGAAACGAATTCAACATTATACCACTCTTTCTTTGGATCACTCAGGGGAGCCACCCGTTACAAGTTTCCATTATTCGCAAACGCGTGCGCATTTTCTATTCTTGCATCTCTCTATGTATTACATATGTAACATAAAATATACATACATATATACATACGTATTTAATTATTTATAAGCAAAAATTAAGTATACTTATGATACATATGTATATGTGTATATATATATATATGTATAAGTGTGATAACATAGTATTAAAATATTTGTCAATATATTTCTATTAAAAAAAAAAAAAAAATCTTCCTTTATAATCAAAGAAATAGATGAATTTTTATCAAAATGATCGTTATCGATTTAAAGTGGTACGTGTCAATTTCAACAAATTATCAAATTCTTTTCGTCCATCTTTATTTTCTTACATTCGATCGACGAAATGTAATATACTAGTTGGAATATCTTAGAAATAAATATCATATTAATTTCTATCAAATGTCTTCGTAAGTTATTCATATTAAAACGTAAGTGATTAAATATTTTACGCGTGTCATTTTTAATGTCAAGAAAAACTATAAAAGCAATTTAACGATATATCCAAGAATCGAAGATTTTTTGATATCGAATGAATTAATCGATATAATAAACATTTAGCAACTTCATTCGTAAATTGTATATATATATATATATATGTATATATGATATTTAGTTTCATATACGAATAAAAAGGTATGTTTAAATTCTGCATAATAAAATTTGTCTCTTTTATAGGAAACTTCATTCAGTACAAGTTGTAAAACATCCGTTATGTTGGTAAAACATAACAATGATGTTGGCAATATCAAAACAAATATCGATAGTGAACAATGATTTTAAAAACATTAGTACGCGCGAAAGTTGTGTCGTGTGCATTTACCGGTGGAAAATATTTATCTAATAATATAAGGATATTAAAAAAAATGGGACCACTCGAAACGGCAAAAAAAATTGCTGCTTATAAAGCTATCGACGAATATGTCAAGGTAATTTATATATATATTATTTTATTTTGTCGTAAAATGATATATCAAAAAAAAATTTTTTAGAGGTTAGTAAAACATAATGATATCTGTGTTGATTATAATTATTGAATTTAATTTGTAGGATAATACCGTAATTGGAATTGGTAGTGGATCTACTATTATTCATGCTGTACACAGACTTGGTAAGAATTATTAATAATATTTTTTCAGGTATTATACTCCGTATATAATCTTTCTTGACATATGTATATATACATATATATATGTATATATATATATATATACATATTTTCAGTTCTTTCAATTTCATGAAATAATATATTTTTTTAAAATCATTATTATACTCTACAAATACTAATTGTTTTATAAAATGTTGATAAAATTATATTAAAATCATAATAAAATAATTATTATAAATTATGTGTGTACTGTATAAAACTTTTACCTTACTTACCCTAATCTTAACCTTTGATCATTTTAACATACAATAAAATTTTTCCTTATATATTCTTTGGATAATATAATCATATCTGTATTATATATTGTTGACCATGATTAGATGTTTAATATCATATATACGATTTAGAGTTTATATTTTTAACAGAAGTGTAATTTTTCTTTTTTTTTTCTTTTTATAGCCGAACGTGTAAAGGAAGAAAAACTTAATGTTGTTTGTATTCCTACATCGTATCAAGCTCGACAACTGATATTGAATAATCATTTAACATTAGGCGATTTAGAATCTTTTCCAAAGGTATAAATATTTTTATAACATTCGATATAGATTGTTCGTTCGACAATTTATAATTTATTATATAATACTTCATAGTTAGATTGTGCCATTGATGGTGCAGATGAAGTTGATGCTGAAATGAATATCATCAAAGGTGGTGGGGGATGTTTGCTTCAAGAAAAAATTGTCGCTTCATGTGCCAAAGAATTTATTATTATAGCTGATTATACGTAAGTTATAATATTATTATTAATTATAATAGAATAAGACTATATATCCTATTTCTCTATTGATTATTTTATGTGATATAAATTTTAGAAAACATTCGGAAAAACTTGGACAACAATATAAGCAAGGTATACCTATCGAAGTAGTACCTATGGCATATGTTCCTATTCAACATAGAATTGAAGATAATTATGGTGGCGACGTAAAGATAAGAATGGCTGTTGCTAAAGCTGTAAATATTAATGTTATATAATTTGTCTATCTATGTTAATATAAAAAATACTTTTTCCATGTGTATTATTTTTTTTTTTTTTTTTTTTTTTTTGCAGGGACCTATAATAACCGACAATGGTAATTTTATTTTGGATTGGCATTTTCCACAAGATTTGAGCGATTGGAATAAAATCAATGAAGAAATTTTATTGATGCCTGGAGTAGTAGAGACTGGTCTTTTTATTAAAATGGCAAATAAAGCATATTTTGGTATGACAGATGGCAGTATCAAGGAACAACCATAAAAAAAAATTATTGTATACATAGACAAATGTTATTTTTCATATTACATGAAAATGATTTTATCAGAATTTAAAGAAATTCATGTTTTGTCTTCAAATATATAATTTTTTCTCTCATATTATACAGTCATTTTAATATATTATTAGGCATTTTTTAAATATTGTTTTATATGGACTGATTTACATTACAATTGTTTTTTAACGAATTTGTGGATATTGTTTTTTATATTATCGATATTTAAATGTAAATTTATTTTTTACATTGTACTTAGAAAGTTGTACTTAGAATATATTTATTGGTAGAAACCATGGGAAATATTTGTGTATATATAATTTTGTATTAATCGAACATTAATAGAAACCACCATGACATTTAAATGAATAAAAAATAATAAAATATGATTTGATACTTAACACTTTGATTACATTTTTTTTTTTCTTTTTTTATTATTTTTAATTTTTTTCTTCTTACATAATATATATATGCTTTTATTAATTATAATGCAAATTATAATGAAAATCCTATAAATTTATAATAATAATAATTATAATCATTTTAAAGAAAAAAAGAAAAAAAATTTCGCCCGAACAGGGACTCGAACCCTGGACCCTCAGATTAAAAGTCTGATGCTCTACCGACTGAGCTATTCAGGCACTTGCGATTCGAAGTGTTTTTACGAATGTTCATCAGTTACACGATTTAAATATTTATTTTTTTTTTTAAATTGTTCATCATCTCATAACATATGTAACTTCAGCGACACCTACAAATAATAATAATTCATAAAAGTAAATGAGAATTAATAAGAAATATAAGAATAAATAAGAAACATGTAGGAGTATAAAATTAAATTATATCGAAATATTAAACTGAAATTATTATTATATTTAATAATTTAATAATAATAATGCGCGTTAAGAGTCGCATAATGTTTAATCAGTACGTATTATATCATTTTAATATTATTTCATCTTACTCCGTCTACATTATATTACGCCGTTTAAATAATTATAAAATCATCGAAGATATTAATTTTTAATTTTATTCGTTTGAAAAGAGAGATAGTAGATACGAATAGATTACATTGAATTTGAAAATAATTTCTTAGAGAAACTTAAGTAACATAATAACAATTTCTGGAAGATAATGAAGATATCTCGAGGAAAAGAAAGCTTAATCAATCTCGTCGAAACAATTTTTAAGATAATTTTCTTAGAATTCCTAATATAGCATGGAATATTATTAGTATTAAAATATTAACGTTTCTTTCCTTCTTTTTACGTGATAGCACATAATTATAATTAATGATTATAATTAAGATTTTTACGTATATATAGACGATTGCCGATGGATCCCAATAGATGATAAATACGGCACAATACGAAACTATTCACAAATATTATACCGATTTTGAAAAGTTACGGTCTTGAATTTATTTTCTTATTTTTGTTATTTTTTTATGTATTTATTTATTTATTTATTTTTTCTTTTTTTTTTTTCGTTATTATGAAAATCTATCGAAAGTATTTTTTTTTTTTAATTAAATTTTGCAGTAAGTAATACAAATATTTTATACTGTTTTACATTTCGATAAATATTTTATAAAAGGAAATATTATTATATTATTCTTTTATGAGATTGTATTGTACAGATCTTTATTATAATTTGACGTACACAAAATAATATTTATCACGTGCGAAATTGTACACACATGTGAAATTGAATATATATGCCGATTATCTCGTGAACGATGCATTTTTTATGCAATTTAACAATTATTTATTACACTTAATTACGGTTACAAATATCTAAAAAAAGTATACGTATCTATTAACGAGAGAAAAAAATAGTAATAAAACAGAAAAAAAAGGAAAAGAAAAAAGATGAAGAAGAAGAAGCAAAAATAACTATGTTGACCTTTACAACTCGAAAAGATCATCATTAAAAAAAATTTTGTTTAGATGTTCTTCCTGGATGATTAAATTTGCAAATTTTCCTTAATAAATTTCCTTGTAACTTCAATCAATTGCGAGATATTCACTTGTGAACATATGTGGACAGACACTCTCTATATACTTATTTTACATAATTGGATATATATATATATATATTTATGGATATATAAACTGGAAGATCACATTAATAACATTATTATGACGCTTCCAAAAATTTTTGAAAAGGTTTAATCACACTTTAGAAAGGTTTAATTACATTTTATGAAAAAATTTTATTTTTTAACATATGTCATTTTATTTGTTTAAATTAATCAATATTCTTTAGAATATTTTTTTATTAGATGCAACAGCGTATCTACACACTCGATTGAGTAATTAAAGTCGGTCCCTTTGACCTCTCTGATTATAAGGAAATGTTAATTTATAACTATAATATAATAAATATTATATAAATATATATATATAAATTAAAATCAATAATAAAAATTTGACAAACTTTACATAATGATATAGATATGTACGTATATCGATAAAAAATAATTCTATTTATTATTATTCGAATTAAAAATATTTTTTATTATATATTTATTAATATAAAATTCTTATAATAGAAATAATTTAATGCACTTTCATGCACTGTAAGACTATAAAACGTCTTTGAATTTTAAATTAATATTATTTAAATTTTAAATTAATTCTATTATCAAACTTATTTAAAAAATGATTACAATTGAACAATTCCTTTATTTTTCATAGCTTTCTTAAATATCGTATCCACCCAACAAAGAAGAAAATGTGGGTAAGTAAGAAAATTTTTTTATGTACATATATATATATATATATATATACACGTATACTCACACATACACACACATATGTATATATACAAAAAATATTATATTTAGAAAATATTATTTCATACTTTTTAATATGTTTCACAGCATTGAGAATTTTCAATGTGACAATGGAGATTGTATAGCTAATGAGTTTTTATGCGACGGACAAGCAAATTGTAAAGATGAATCGGATGAAACGCAGTCTGTATGTTCTAAAATACAATTAACATGTTCACCATATGCCTTTAAATGTAATTATGGTGCTTGTATTGATGGTGATCTAATATGTAATGGAAAAAAAGATTGCATTGACAACAGTGATGAAACATTAGCTAAATGTTTATATACCATGGAAAATATTACAACCTCTATAAGTTGTTCCATAAATCAATTCAAATGTGATAATGGTCAATGCATCGATTCTGAAAGATTGTGCAATGGCAATATAGATTGCAGAGATCATTCTGATGAAACATTTTCTAAATGTGGAGCATTAAAGTAAGATTATATAATTTAATTAATATAAATTATTAAACTATAATATATATCTAATAATATTGTTTCCTCTTTAAATTTTTTCTAGCTGCAATGAATTGTTATTTCGTTGCAATTATGGGGCTTGCATAGACGGTAATTTACAATGCGATGGTATAATAAATTGTGTGGATGGGTCAGACGAAGATCCTAAATTCTGCACAAAAATTGTAACAAATCCAATTTCTATTATATCCATATCTCCTTCAAGAAGTAACACATCAATGATATCCCCATGGATCCCAAAAAGACCAATTCATTGTTTGGTACCTCCTCAGCCAGCAAATGGTAAATGGCAATTACATAAGTCGCAATGTCAAACACAAAAAAACTGTGACGTGCAACAAGGTGTACAATTATATAATGGTGCTTATTTGGTTTATACCTGTAATCCTGGCTATAAAATAAATGGTTATCCTTATGTATTATGTGATCTAGAGGGTAAATGGTTAAATATTCCAAATTGTATTGGTAAGATTTATAACATAAATGTCATTATAATAAAAAAATTTATCGACATTACTATATTTATATTACTTTTGATTATTTTCTAAATGTATCTTTCATGATTTTAGAAATACGTTGTAAATCATTGACTTCAGCATCAACGAATGCTATTTGTACATACAATGGTAAATGGACAGTTTGTGAATCTCCTGTTTTACCTGAAACGATCGCAAATTTAAATTGTCGTACCGGCTATCGTCCAGATAGAATATTCCTATCAAGTACAAAAGATCAAATTAGATGTAACGAAAATGGTCAATGGGAACCAGAACCAATAAAATGTATCCCAGGTATGCTAATTATTGATTTTTATATTGGGACTGACAGTATAATATTACAAACTAGTAATGAAGAAACAATTATTTTCTTTAATTGAAATTTTGTTGTAAAAAATTCTAATACATGCGAATACTCATAATTCAAATAATCTTACAATTGATGTTAGAATACTTAACTCAAATTTAAATACTGTCAATTATATGAAAAAAAGATTTTATGATAGATACATCCTTAGAATTTTGCACATTACATATTATGATAAAAATCTTCAAATTTGATTATCAAACGATTTAAGATAATTCACGTATTAAAAATATTATAATTATTAACTTATGCTAAAAGGTTTAGCCAAATGGAATTAGATTATATTTATTTATTTAATATAATACAATGAGATATTTTTAATTTATTTATTTACTTCATAAAAAATTTGTTAAATGATTAAACATTGTTATAATTAAAATATCATCAAAAATAAGTTAAAGTAAATAAATCTCTACTTTAAATATTAAAAATTAGGACATTGTTAAAAAGTTGTAACTATAAATTTTTTTTTACTTATTTCAATTATGTACAATATTTTTAATTTTAATATATTTTTTTAGTATGCGGAGTTCTTACTCCAAACACAAAACCTCTCATAATATATGGCAATGCTATTGATATTTCTCTACTTCCATGGCATGCTACTCTCTATGAAACAATAAGTCCAGATGGACCAAAGGAATTTACTTGTGGTGCAACAATTATAAAAGATAATCTCCTTATCACTGCAGCCCATTGTGTTTTTGATGAAACAAATAAAAAAGTAAATGACCCAAAAAGATATTATATAGCAACTGGAAATATTTTTCGTGACTATGATTCTCCGCTACATGATCCACATTTTGTTAAAAAGGCTCAAGTATGGGACATTAAAAAATTATTAATTAATATTTTAATTATAAAATTTATTATGTATCATTTTTCAGGTTAAGAACATTTATGTTAACTGTTATTATATGGGCTTAGAAGGAAATTATGGTTGGGACATAGCTATTTTAGAGATTGATGTGCCATTTGTATTCTCAGCTTTGTTATTGCCAGCATGTTTGGATGAAACTTTTATTGAATTTGGATATGGGATAGTTGCAGGATTCAGTAGAACCATTTTAGGAGCATCAAGTTTTCTTCTAAGATCTGTAAAACTGCCCTATGTTCCTTTTGATCAATGCAGATCTGCAAGCAATGCTGAATATGAGAAGTTCATAATGCCTGACAAATTTTGTGTGGGCAATACAAATGGTTAGTAATGATATATTAAATAAAAATTAATAAATGAAATCAAATATTTATAAATGATCAATATATGTATTCTAGGGACATCCATCTGTGATGGTTATGGTGGCGGAGGATTGGTATTTCCAAATGGAGATTTGTGGTTTTTAAGAGGTATTATTAGTATTGGTCTTGGTATAACGATAACAGCTAAAAGTGAACATTGTTATAGTTATTCATATGCTCTTAATACACGTATTTCAAGTCATATAATCTGGATTCAAGATATTATTTTCAGATTAGAATCATCTAAACCAATTCCTATGTGTCATAATTCACATCGTAATACATTTCTATAATTTGATAATAAAATTTGATAATAAAACTGATTTTATATAATTCATTAGTTGTTAATCCTTCCAATAAAGCAATAAATTGTATATATTAAAAACATAGATAATTTTCAATTCTTTCTCTTGCTCATATATATATATATATATATATATATATATATATTTATATATATGAACATTAATTATTATATTATAAATAAATATCGTATATTTTTATTTACCACACGTTACAATTTCTTGTTGTAGAAAAATTTGGAATTTATTATTTGAATTGATTCGATCGAGTTTGATACTATAGCGCCAGCCAATCGTGAAGAGCCCACGTGTTCTTTCTCTTGAGAAGTATATCGTTTCTTTCGAACTAACCTATAATGTTTACAATCAAATAAACGAATGCAATACACACAATTTATACAAACGAACAATTTCCATTTATTTTAGTTAATTCTATGCAAATTAGTATAATATTTATATTGTATATAATATATTATTAACAAAATGATGTCAAAATATATATTACGTTCAACTTGTATCGTTGGAAAATATATGCAGGTATTTATTGTTATTATGCAAGTAAATTTTTTTTTTACAAGATTTATGAAAATAATAGTAGTAATAATAATAATAATAATAATAATAATAATAATATATTTTTCAGAATAATTTGCCTGTAATGCTAAGTGCTATTTCGTATCCTCATAATTCTTCAGAACAGATCAGGCATATAAATAAACATTGGGATCCTAAGTATAAGAAGGAAAGGAAAGAAAAATTTATTAAAATAGATCTACCAAATTTTCATGAGACTGATAAAAAAAAGGCTGCGGAAAGAAAGCGTTCGTTATTAAAACAATATGGAATATATCCTCAAAAGCA